GCTGCTAAGGTCAGGCCGGCTTTAGAAGAAGAACAGATGAACAGGTTTTTCGTCCGGGCTCAAGACCCACAGTATTATGAGAGGTTGATATTGATTGAAGGCCAGAAATTTTCCGACATCATCAAGCTAGGGGAGAGGATCGAGGAAGGCATTAAAAGTGGTATGGTCACTAACTTTAAGGCATTGCAGGCCACCAACAAGGTTCTACAGTCTGGCGGCGCATCCAAGAAAAGGGATGAAAGTGCCGTGATGGTTGCACAAAGAACGAAATCCCCAATAAAATACCAAACCTACCCGATATCTCCTCTCACATATCAACCTACCCCAAATTACCAAGCACCTTCACCCACTTACCAAGCTCCACCACCTGCTTACCCATCATCTCCACCCCCTACATATCAACCTACCTCATCAAGATATTCCCAACCCGCACCCGTCTATCAAGCCTATAATGCTCAGCCCTCTCACTATCAATCACCTCCCACCCGCCAAAACTTCCCTAGACCGCGACCTAACTTCGACCGTAGACCTCCCAAACAATACACCACCATCGTCGAACGAATCGAGCAGCTGTATGAAAGGCTCAAAGCTGCTGGTTACGTCACCCCTATCCCTGCCATAACTCCAGAAAATCCTTCCCAATGGGTCAACCCGAACAAAACCTGTGCATACCATTCCGGCATGAAGGGGCATACCATTGATGAATGCCGCTCTCTGAAGGTAAAATCCAAGCTTTAATTGACAACAAGATTATTGTGGCGAAGGAACCTGCTCCTAATATTCGCAACAACCCCTTGCCCGACCACAAGGGCGGAGGCATTAACATGATAGAGATAGAAGATGATTGGAACCCCAAAGGATCGATCGGATGGATTGCTGAAGATGACGAGCCAAAGAAACCAACTTCACACTTAATCCAATTGTAGTCCAGATCCAGCCTTCTGGAGACACTGAAGTGAACATGTCCATACCACTTGAGTTCGAGGCACCTTCTTCTACAAAGGCGCCAGGACCGATTGAGGTCGAGTTTGGATCCCCAAAGGCACCTGTACCATTTGAAGTTGCTGTGTTACCTCCCAAAGCAAGGGTACCCATTCCTGTGGCTATGTCAATCGTAGCACCATTCCATACGAAGGCCATTCCTTGGGATTACACCGCCGAGGCGAGAAGGAAAGGGAAAACCAAATCTGGATAAGCAATTGCAGCATAGGGGATGACCAGAACCGGCAGGGTTTATACCCCGGAACATTTAGCTGAATCAAGTAAGCAGGCCCCTGGACGGCCTATTGAAACTGGACCCGATGATCTCTGGAGGAAGATACAAGCAAAGGAGTACTCAGTCATTGATCAACTAAATAAAACACCGGCGCAGATCTCCATCCTAGCTCTGCTGCAAAGCTCCGATGCCCATAAGAATTCCTTGATGAAGATACTGAGTGAGGCATATGTACCCAGCAACATAACTGGAGGAGAAATGGAGAACATGGTAGGGAAAGTGTTGGAGAGTCACAAAATCACTTTCCACGAAGATGAGCTGCCACTAGAAGGGCTGAGCCACAACAAGGCGTTGCACATCACCGTGCAATGCGAGGATTATTTCATCACCAGAATTCTGGTTGACAGAGGGTCCAGCCTCAATATTTGTCCATTGGTGACTCTCAGAACATTGGGGAAGAGTCTGCATGAGATCAAGGATGGAGCCATCAATGTCAAAGCTTCTGATGGTTCCCAAAGGACCACTATTGGGGAAATCAGTTTATGTCTACAAATGGGACCGACCTGGTTTGACGTTGACTTTCAAGTAATAGACGTCCCAGCATCTTACAACTTGCTATTGGGACGGCCCTGGATCCATGCCGCTGGAGCTGTAGCATCAACCCTACACCAGGCAGTAAAGTTTGAGTGGAATCACCAAGAGGTGATTATTCACGGCGATGGTAGCAATCCCATATACAGTCGCCAGACCATCCCGGCAATATGAGGAAGAAGGAAGATAGGCGGAGAAACTTACCATCACATTGAGCGAGTCAACGCCGTGGACAAGGATAAATGGTGGGATAACAAGATTGAGAGTATACTGAATTGGTGTGGATATGAGCCTGGCAAGGGACTTGGCAAAAACCTCCAGGGAATCGCCAAACCCATTAAACTAAAGAAATATGGCACCACTTTTGGTTTGGGGTATGAATACACTTGGGAGGAGTTCAACCACTGGTCGCCACCATGGCGCAGTCCCTACTACCCACTGGAGCATCCGATACCTCGCCTGGAGCAGACTTTCCAGCCAGCAGATGTCATATATGGGTCAGAAGAAGAGGAAGCGTTGGCGGCAGTAAGGAATCTATTTTTGAAGGACGACAACATGGACTGCTGTGTCATTTTTGAGGAGGAAGGGGAGGAAGGCCCTTCAATACAAGCTGTGAACCGAGGAGCACGCCTCAACAATTGGTCCATCAGAACCACCAGAGCCCGGAAAGCTTCGGGGTAGCAAGGCTGAACTAAGCACCATGCATTACCTTTTACTTTTTCGCTAGCTGATTTCATTTCCGCATTTTTAATTTCGAAAATAAGAGCTCTAATGTTCAAAACAATTATGAAATTTATCAAAGCATTTCAGTTTCTTATAAGTCTCGCTCTTATTATTTTTTCTATCGTTTACTTTATTTACACAACGTTACTATTACTTATCTTGATGAACCGATGATTGTGACATGCAACGAGACAATGCAACAAACGGACATAGACTCAGAAGAGGATGATATACCAGAAGAGGTCGTTGAATAGGTTGAGGATTTTGAGAATAGGCCTAAGCCTAACTTGGACGAAACTGAGATTGTAAACTTGGGAGATACAGAGAATGTCAAAGAAACGCGTCTTAGTGTTCATCTGTTACCATCAGAAAAGAAAGAGTACACGAAATTTCTAAGGGAATATGAGGACATATTCGCCTGGTCGTATGATGATATGACTGGTCTCAGTACATCCATTGTAGCTCACAAACTGCCAACCGATCCCACATGCCCACCAGTAAAACAGAAGCTCAGAAAGTTCAAACCTGACATAAGTTTGAAAATCAAGGAAGAGGTCACTAAGCAAGTCAAAGCCAAGGTTCTCAGGGTGGTAGAGTATCCGACATGGTTAGCCAACATTGTGCCAGTACCAAAGAAGGATGGGAAGGTTAGAGTCTGTGTCGACTACCGGGACCTCAACCGGGCCAGTCCGAAATACGAATTCCCCTTACCAAACATACACATTCTAATTGACAACTGTGCCAAGCATGAGCTGCAGTCGTTCGTTGATTGTTTTGCTGGGTATCACAGATATGGATGGATGAGGAAGACGCGGAGAAAACGGCTTTCATTATGTCGTGGGGAATGTATTGTTACAAAATGATGCCGTTTGGGTTAAAGAATGCTGGGGCCACCTACATGAGGGCCATGACTGCTAGTTTCCACGACATGATACACAAAGAGATTGAGGTGTATGTAGACGATGTCATCATCAAATCCAAGAAAGCCACTGACCACATGGAAGATCTGAGGAAATTCTTCAACAGACTGAGAAGGTACAATCTGAAACTGAATCCCGCCAAATGTGCATTCGGGGTTCCTGCTGGAAAACTACTTGGATTCATTGTGAGTCGCCGAGGAATAGAATTGGACCCATCAAAGGTTAAAGCCATTCAAGAGTTGCCGCCGCCGAAGAACAAGAAGGACGTGATGAGTTTCCTGGGGAGACTCAACTACATCAGCCGATTCATAGCCCAGTCCACTATCATTTGTGAACCGATCTTTAAAATGTTGAAGAAGGACGCCGCTACCAAATGGACTGATGATTGCCAGAAAGCCTTTGATAGAATCAAGGAATACCTGTCAACGCCGCTAGTTTTGGTTCCGCCCGAACCAGGTAGACCTCTTTTGCTCTACCTTGTGGTATTGGATGGGGCATTCGGTTGTGTTTTGGGACAACATGATGAAACGGGGAGAAAGGAGCAGGCCATCTACTATCTCAGCAAAAAGTTCACCCCGTACGAGGCCCGATATTCCCTATTGGAACGCACCTGTTGTGCTCTGACTTGGGTAGCTCAGAAGTTGAGGCATTATTTCTGTGCCTATACCACTTACCTCATATCAAGAATGGATCCGCTGAAATATATCTTTCAGAAGCCCATGCCCACTGGCAAGCTAGCCAAGTGGCAAATCCTGTTGAGTGAATTTGACATTATCTATGTGACTCAAAAGGCAATCAAAGGACAAGCCTTGGCAGATCATCTCGCCGAGAATCCCGTGGATAGAGAATACGAGCCTCTAAAAACGTATTTTCCCGATGAAGAGGTATCTTTCATAGGAGAGGATATTGCAGAATCCTATGATGGTTGGAGAATATTTTTGACGGAGCAGCAAATTTCAAAGGAGTTGGTATAGGAGCAGTCTTAGTATCAGAAACCGGCCAGCACTACAAGAGAAGTGATTTTTAGCGACGGAAAATCCAGTCGTTAAAAGCCCAAATATGGTCGCTATAGGTCATTAACGACCAGGCAAAAATCGGTCGTCGCCGGTCACTAAATGTGCCGTCGTTAAAAGTTAACGACCGGATTGGAGTTCGGTCATTAAAGATTCTTTAGCGACGACGTAATTTATAGTCGTTATTCTTACTCTTTTGCGACCGAATTTTCCCCTCGTTGATTTGTCATCCGGTCATTAAAGCTCTTTAAAAACAACCACAAGTTCGATTACTATAATTACTTTTAGGGACCGGAGTTCCCTTTCGTTAATTGTATGTTACTTTTAAAGATAATATTTTTAACAACCAATTTTTTCGCTAATACCTGTTAACAATCTGACAATCCAATCATTAAATAATTGTAAAGGCCATATTTTCCTTCGCTAATATGAAATTTTAATAAATACAATTAGATAATTCATAATTTTTTCCCTGTGTTTGCGCAATAATATTTGTTATTCCATATAATTTTACACACACACATCAAAAAAAAATAATAAATAAAACATGTATTCACATAAAATTAATCTGTCAATTAGAAAGAACTAGTAAAACAACACATTACTAGAATATATACCCAAATCTAAACTGTATGACTTTCTCACTATCAATTCCGGAAAGAGAGAAAATGAAATTTCAACATGTGTACAAATGCCAACATCCCTACACAACCACTAAGAAAGCTATAAAATCTAGTATGCATCAATTTGCTTTGTACTTTCTTCAATGACATCTTCATTCTTCAACTTTTTAATCTGTTAAAAGAACAAGCTCATGTCAGTATAGTAAAAACTTCTCTAACTATTTTATTTAAAAAAAATAAATGAATAAATTTAATCACCATGTTAATTGAACAACTGGAGTAAATAAATCAAACTTCGCGATTATAAATCAAAAGCATAAGACACAAAAGTTTCTGCAGTCCAAATAATTTTGATTAAAAAGACCCAAAAATAGCTAAACCACAATCAAATGTAGGCACCATCTCCAGTGATGATTTGTCTTTGTTGACACCTTTTTCCTTTTTCCCCTAATAGTATGGGGGGTGGGGGAGGGGAGGAGACAACAACAATAAAGAGACAAGTTCCTAAAACCAGAAATTATTAAAAGCAAACAAAACATATTAGTACACATAATTACATTGAGAAAAAAATATCAAACAAGAAACAATTCCTTTTATCCACTTAAGCTGCTAAAAAGACTTTTGACATGAAATCATTTTGGTCTTGAAAGACGTGATAGTATTTCTTAAACTAGGAGTTATCTTTGGGTTCTATCGTTATGCTGCAGTTATACTTGAAAAAGAGGAAACAAATAGTGCAATAATTTGATGTTTCTGAGTAGAGAGAATATTGTGCAAGTAACCGGTAGCTCTGTGATGGAAAGGTTATGCTAACAATGTCTTTAGGGTCTCAAATGTTGTGGTACCCATTTTTTAGCTCGGGTTATATATTGTGTACCTGATGAAGTAGAAACCTAATTTAGTAGTGGAGGAAGCCGATTATCTAAAGTAAATAGGACACTTTTTTACTAAGCATTGCTTTCTTCATGATGAGTTATAGTAGATCGAAAAGATATGTTGCTTTGCCTATGCTATATGAACTCGGGTAAATAAAGCAAGAATGCATGTTGAGGCGGTTGATTTGCCTAGGTCCCTTAATATGGATATAGGGATGCCGAGAGTTGCTGCAAGGCTATTGATAACAACTAAATGCAGTTACCAGTATTTATTGATTTACAAGTCTGATGATTAATTAGCATTTCTTTTGGGAGTTAAAAAGTTTGTAGTTGACTTGTCTTGTTTTGCATACTTGTTCGAGACATTTAGTATTAGCACAAGGTTAAGTTATCCTTTTGTGTTCTCTCCATTTTAACCTTATGGGGTATAGCCGATATATTTATGGCAATTATTGATCATGCTTGAAAAGGCTAGAGAAGGCATCTATGGGTGTATCTCAGAAGCTGATCTCAACCGTAGCATATCAGGTCATCCAGGAACCAGGGTGTGCCAGGTGAATTTAACGTTCTCAGCCTGATTTAGCTCATTTCTAATCCTGAAGTTCCAAAAAGCTTTCTAATCTTAGACGAAATACAGATAACAGGGATTATTTAATCTTTTATTCAGAATCAAATGATGCCATGACACTTTAGTTTTCTGCAGTTAAATTGCATGACAATTGAGTGATGTCGTGATTCTAATTTAATCTAATTGAAGCGGCAGTGCCACTAACCTCTTTTTCTCTTAACACAAACTTAATCTTCATACATATACTTAATCTCCGGTAAAAGGCAGAACATCTTCTACTGTTAGGTGACAAGAATACAATGAAAGAAAGACATGGCAATAGAAAGTGATAAGGTGGCTAAATAAATGAATATGACATGTGATAACTGTAAAAAGTTGATAAAAGTTTACTAACCTTTCAAATGCCTGTATCTGGTTCAGTTGAAGATGGTGTTGATGAAGGCTGGCCAGAGTATGTGCTTGCAAGTTGTGCAACTGTATTCTCCAAGTTATCCAGGCGTCTTTTTAGTGATAGATTTTCTTTTCGAGTTGCATTCAACTCATCCAACAGTGCAGCCTTAGAGGACTTACCGCCCTTTAACTCCTTAGCGGTTATCCCACCCCCAAATCCAACCACATTGCTCTTGCATTGAGGTCCAAAGCACCTTTCTACAACCTCAATGTTTGTAAGAGACGGCTCGGATTGTACCAATTCTTGAATTTCAGTCTAAAAGATTATAATCTTTGAAATAATGCAATACTTTGATAAAAGAAAGGGTGTAAAATGAAATTTATCAATCAACATACATATTTTTCATTGGTTTCAGGTTCGACAAGCTTATCGTCCTTCTTATGAGTCTCAAAGAAAATAGTAGACATATCTGGTGGATTACCATCTTTGCCTCCCTTTGCATTTAAATAAACAAGTCAAACAATTTCTTTTAAACAAAGAGGGGGTTTCTTAATACAATAACACGATTTACTTACCAGCTCATAAATAATCTCTCTGATAGGCTTGCTACCCGTACGATGAGGCACATTCAACTTAGACCTATTCACTGAGTTTCTCGTACTTCTTTCCTATAACAACAAAAAAAATAGAAGGTGTAGTCTGCTGCTTAAAAAATTAAGATGCTATAAATATTTATGAAGTCATACCTTAAACTTTTCAGATAAGAAGTGCTCCTTGACCAACCATTCCCAATCACTCTTGTCGACCCCCTCTGGCACATCCTTTAGAACATCGCGCAATGGCTTAGACTTCACAATCATGTGCAGCGATCCTCTCCAATTGTTCCATAACCTTCTCATATGTTTCAAGACATTATCTCTTTGACCATTTATGTCAGCACTATCAAATTTGTCCTCTAATATTTTAAAAATATCATCAAACATGTAATTCAAAAATTTTAAATAAACAAAAAAGAAAAACTGAACCAACAATATGAAATAAAATATTTAAGAGTTACTAGTGACAAATTAATTTATCTCTTAAGATGACGTGATTATTAAATGTGAAAACATGCTCGACATCATAATTTGATCTTATATGAACATTTCCAATACAACAGGAGAAGAGAGCAGATTCATCGATATGATTTATAGATGTGTTCTTTATATTTGTCGGTTTCCATCTCTAGCAAATACTTTCATTAGGAGGAAAAATCTCATTTTGGATCTTAATTATTACTCAATAACGGAACTGATCTTTGGATGCTATCCTTAATCATTTCTCTATGTCCTCTAACTTAAAAGACTAAATGAATGAAAGCATCAAATATTATCATTGGTCGAGCAGTTTATGCACCAAACTATCATACAAAAAAATAGTTTACTCAAAGCAATATGAATCTTAAGGAACAAATGTTAATAAATGAGAAAAACTCTATGGAAAGGGGAAGGCACATATTCATTAGTGGTTGTACAACAAGCACAACATTCTCTACATACATTTCCACTCTATCTGTTGTAGGAAAGCAGGCTGCTATAAGAGTTAGCAGCAAAGCCTTCTTTTACTAATTGACAAATTTGGTAGGCAAAGTATCACTGACAGTTTCCAGCTTGGTCCCTACATGCGTACTGTAAATGAAACTAAAAGACTGCACCTATATATGCTGAGGAGTTTCCACTTCTGCATATAGAATTCCTAGTGGCATTCAGTATTAAGTAATGTCGAATGTCAATCAAGTCACCTAAAATAACTATAAAGAATCATGTCACCTGAAATATACTCTTAACATTGTACCAACTGACAGCTTACTATAAGTGAAATAGAAGACAATATGCTGATGAATTTCTACTTTCAGCTTACTATTCCTAGTGGTATTCGGTATGTCTTGCAAGGCCATAGTTGAATTACTCTCAATGAGAGTACACCATCTACAACTTATCCAAGAAAAATTGGATATGACTACAGAGAGTGAAGTCAAATTTATCTCATACAGTTTGCCCAAGAAAGTTTGATGTGTCATTACAAGCACATAAAACTTATCTTACACAATTGCTTGTCCATCTCCCCAAGTATCACTTCCTGCCCAGTGAGGAGGAATTTCATGTTTTTATTTATTTATCTTTGGATGCTAAAGATAAATGGATATTTTTCTCAATTTATGATGCAAAAGAAGTAGGATATTGGGGTTTTTCTAAAAAGCACAATAAACTATATGTTTCTAGTCATTTAATTTTCTTTTTGAATTCTTACAAACCAGAAAAAAGAACTCGATAGATGCAATGATATAAAGTCACTAGTATTTTCTTTTTATTTGTGAAAGAAGAAAAGGAAAAGGCAAAACAACAAGGTAATACTTTAAATTCTTACAGTAACATCTTCGCACATATGGTCCAGCTTATATTCTTCGATGCCCGCCCATGAGTGTACCCGCAATGGGCACATATTACGGTCACGAACTAATAAACCTAAGTGTCTGACAAATGAGGTTGAATTCTTCCCAACAACTTGATTGTGGTAGAAAGTGACGCTCAACTTTTCTCCAACTTTGAGTCCAAGAACATTTTTACACCTGTTCTTTCCTCTCACTTTTTTTGCCTTTTCAGATTCACATGGACCAGTTAATTTCAAATTTAAGTCAAACAATAAAAAAGTGCCACTGCAATAACAAAAAAAATATATATTACAATTTGAAACAGTGAATTACTTATTTCGTTTCTCTGAGTGTCTTGCATCACTTCAACTTCTTGCGGGAGGGAAACATCATCTTCTACTGGATCAAAACCAGGAGGTGCAAGACTCTTATTCTGAGCTAGCTCGTTCAGATAAGAAACTGCTGCATTACAATTTTTACTTTTGCCAATCGGGAGTCTCTGTTCAGCATTTACTCTTACCGAGCCCAAAATTTTGAAGCTTTGCCCTCGTCCCCTTGCTAAGGCGCCAGGTGCAACGTATGAATGCTTAACAGACTTCGAAGTTGATTCCATTTCAAACTTCTGAGATTTTGATGGATTCATCTCAACCTAATACAACAAAAGAAAGCAGAGTATGTTAAGCTACCTCGACAAGAAAAAATAGTTCAGCAATTTGTCAATATGAAAAGTGCTGCCAACTAGCACTTTAACTATTTTTGAGACATGAGAGCACATTACGACCTAAATGTATTAACAAGAAATAATATTTGGAAGATACAAAGATACTTTTTTCGATAGACTCTCGGCTAAAGAAGATGAAAGAAGCACTGATAGTAAGTAATAACAATATTTACTCCTACATAAAATACCATCAACACTAAATAAAGCTAAAATACTATCGGCACACAAAATATTCAAAGTATGTTCGTTACTAAATAAAGTTAAAATACCATCAGCACACAAAATATTTACTCCTACATAAAAAGATAATGTGTTTACCAATGTTAAAAGACTAGTGATGTTTTTCCAACAAAATAATTTTTGTCCGCCTTTATTGTAGCAGAAAGAGAGACCCAAATATTCATTTTGCACTCTAAGCAAAGTGCATCAATCCCTTAGCAAGAGCATATGCACAAGAAAATGAACATAGGTAAACAAACATACTTGAAAAATGTTAGACGAAGGAAAAAAAAATACAACATTGTCATGAAACACAAAAGTGATGGAATAACAAACCTGAAGAAGCCCCTGACTAGTACAAGGAGCCTGTGAAAGTGAAACAATTATCCATTCGCGAACAGCCCTTTGGTACAAAGAGCGAATAGTAGAAACACAAGCATGAAGGTGGATCATTGTGCACAGAAACTAACAGTGAATCTTGACAATTAAGTATCTATGAATATTTAGTTGAATTAATTAATTTAATAGATCAATTAAGAATTTATGAATACATCGAATTGTCAATTAACTTATGTCAATATAATCTAACACAACTTGCACTCTGTGTTATTCATATATTGTGTGTTATTCCTAATTTTTATCTTTGCTAGGTAGAGAACTTCTGCACCCTGAAATATTCATTTCTAATCCTCAAAGAATCAATCATGAATCAACAATATATAATTAGTCAACAGTAATGATCACCTTTTATTTCATTTTTACTTCTTACAATTTTCGTTGCAATTAAAACCAATTTCCATTAAATCGGGACAAGATCGTTGTTTCCACAATCAGCACCATGATATTTCATTTAGCCGTGGTCAGTAGCCTACTATTATTGTAACCAAATGTATAAAACATTATGTTAGGTTCTTAGTAGCAGTTGTCAAGCTTTCCTCTTTTACTTCACATAGATTTTCAGTTATTTCCCTCATAACAGACCAAGTCACTCTTCAGCATTGAGAACTTAATTCTGAAAAATGTCTAACTTTTGTGCTGTCTATTTTCAAAATATTATTGCAAAGCCGCGGGGCAACTGCTTTTTATCATGAACTTTGATACTAAATAATTGTAGAAGGAACTAAGCTGTTGGAGTTTGATAAGAATCTAGCTATCTCAGGTTTGTATGACATAACAAATATTCTTTCTGTTTCTACATAAACTATCAACTTCATATTGAGAAACTCAGATGCTTAGAATCACCAAAAGATGCAGCACATTTGTCACAATTAATTGTTAGAAATGACAACATTATATGTATTCTAATTCAAAAATTTCTAGGTATTGTCAATAAGTGCAGAAATTAGCCAAAAATGCAGAGCAATCTTTTCTAAAAGTACCACAATGATGCCTCAAACATCCAAGTGCATAGCCCAACCAAAACCATTTTACTGAATAGAACAAAAAGACTTTTTTTTGCAGCAAAGATAAAATTATATTTTTCCCAGATTTTAAATAGGTCGATTATAAATAAGTAGATTGTGAGAATGGAAAATAGCCAACTAATGCCTTGAAACCAAAACCTAAGAGCAGCAAAGCGAAATCACCAAAGAATTCTTCTACTAAACAATTACCACATTAGCAGGAACATGAACATAAAAAAGAACAACTGCTAGTATCACAATTACAGTTGCTTTAGATAGAAGATCCAAAATTAATAACACAATTATAATCTTAATTATTCTTGTCCTCCATTTCCCTTTTCTTTTTCTTTTGTAAAATTTGAATAGCTAACTGAGATTGACATAATGAATTAAGTCTTTATGTTCCCAACATATACGAGAAGTAGTGCTTCGAGCTATCTTCGGCACTTTGTTATAGTAGATAGACATGGGACAGAAAATAGTTAAAGAAATTAAACTAGATTTTCTATTTGAAAAACTATATAGCTGATTCTTGCCCATCAAATTTGCGAGCAAAATATTTTTAGGATTGTTGTTCTGTCCATATCTTATATAAAAGTCAGAGAGATAACACCATGTTTATCCACAGAAAGAGAACAAGGAAAAGGAAAATAACACAACAGGAGGATCCAAAATTAATGCAGAAACTTAGCTTTGACGATAGAGGAGAACAAACCTGAGACCTGTTTTAAAATACAATCACGACCAGATCCAAAAAATTGTTTCTTTTGTCTCCGGTTTATATAATTAGGGAGAAAGTTAGCGCATCCTTATCTCACTAGACAAATCTTATAATACAATCATGAACAGATATATATTGAGAAGCCTTTTTCCCCAACAACGATATGCAATCAAACCCAATTCCAAAAAACAATCTGCTCTCAAAATGAATACACGTAGCTATTATATAACGAGCAAAATTCTAGAAAATAAAGAAACAACTTCTGCATATTCAACAGCAATACTCCTAAAACCTACATGTAACTATATATTTAAAGCATATGTAACTATAAGAAGAAACGCAATATTTGAAAAACAGAGAGAGAATGGATAACATAAAAAATTGCCCAATTTGACAATAATTTACTACAAGTTTAGAGCTTACCTTGTTGAGAAGGAGAAAAAACCCTAGGTTTTCAGAGAGGAAAACAAATTCTGATTCTTCGTAGAGTCCAATTTGTGAGATGTTAGCTATGTGCTCTGTAACTGTAAGTTATTGTATAGTTCTAAAACATAAGATACGTACTCTTTCGTTTTTTGGGGGAGAGGGGGAGGGGGGAGAGGGAAGAGAGTTGAGGGGTGCGTGGGCTGATTATGGGTGGGGTAAAAAAGAGGGAAAAAATAGCGCGCACTTTTTTCTATTTAACGTCTGGATTTTATGATTTTTAAGGACCAAAAATTATCCTTTCGTTAATATTACTCTTAAAATTGATTTTGATGACCGGAAAAAAATTGGTCATCATAGATACACTTATAATGACCGATTTCAAATCCCTTCGTTAGAATTTGGTCGTTAAAAGTCAAACTTCTTGTAGTGCAGCATTATCCGGTATCTGCCAAACTCAGGTTCCCGTGCACCAACAACATGGCCGAATACGAAGCCTGCATCTTAGGGCTCAAGCTGGCCATTGATATGAACATTCAGGAGTTACTAGTGATCGGGGATTCAGATTTGCTCATACATCAGGTCCGAGGAGAATGGGCAACCAAGAACTCCAAGATACTCTCTTATCTGCATCATGTACAGGAGTTGAGGAAGAGGTTCACAAAGACAGAATTTCAGCATGTCCCTAGAGTTCAGAATGAGTTTGCCGACGCATTGGCCACCCTATCGTCTATGATTCAGCATCCAGATAAGAACTTCATAGATCCTATTCCGGTAAAGATTCATGACCAACCAGCTTATTGTGTTCGTGTCGAGGAAGAAGCAGACGGAAGACCATGGTTCCATGACATCAAGGAGTATTTGACAACAGGAGGATATCCGGAACTTGCAAATGCTACTCAGAAACGCACACTTCGGAGATTATCTAACAACTTCTTTCACAGTGGAGGAATCCTGTACAGGAGGACTCCCGATTTGGGATTGCTAAGGTGTGTCGAAGCAAAGGAGGCATCTAGGTTATTAGAAGAAGTTCACACTAGGACCTGCGGTCCGCATATGAACGGTTTTGTCTTAGCAAAGAAGATACTCCGAGCTGGTTATTTTTGGATGACTATGGAAACGGACTGTATCCCCAGTACGTCCGAAGGTGCCATCGCTGTCAGATACATGCAGACATGATAAAAGTGCCTCCGAACGAGCTTACTGCAACAAGCTCGCCATGGCCGTTCGCCGCTTGGGGAATGGATGTTATCGGACATATCGAGCCTACCGCATCAAAAGGGCACAGGTTCATTCTAATGGCAATTGATTATTTCACCAAATGGGTTGAAGCAGCATCATATAAGGCAGTGACTAAGAAAGTCGTGGCAGACTTTGTTCGCGACCGTATCGTTTGTCGATTCGTCATCCCAGAGTCGATCATTACTGACGACGGTTCCAATCTCAACAGTGATCTGATGAAAGCAATGTGTGAAACATTCAGGATCAAACACAAGAACTCTACAGTCTACAGACCTCAGATGAATGGAGATGTAGAGGCAGCCAACAAGAATATCAAGAAGATACTGAGGAAAATGATAGAAAAACATAAGCAATGGCACGAGAAGCTATCATTTGCTCTATCGGGGTACCGCACGACGGTTCGCACATCAACCGGAGCAACTCCCTATATGTTGGTTTATGGTACAGAAGCAGTCATCCCCGCCGAGGTTGAAATTCCCTCCTTGAGGATTATGCAGGAAGCGGAACTTGACGATGCAGAATGGGTGAAAAGTCGCTACGAGCAGCTAGCTCTTATAGATGGAAAAAGGATGAACGCAGTTTGCCATGGTCAATTGTATCAGAACAGAATGTCCAGAGCCTTCAACAAAAGAGTCAAGCCGAGACAATTTACACCAGGACAGCTGGTGTTGAAGAAAATATTTCCGCATCAAGACGAAGCCAAAGGAAAGTTCTCTCCCAACTGGCAACGTCCGCACATGGTTCACCAGGTTTTAACCGGAGGAGCCCTCATACTTGCAGAAATGGACGGAGAAGTTTGGACAAAGCCGATCAATTCAGATGCAGTGAAGCGATACTATGTGTAGCCATTTAGGATTTCTTTATGATGCAATTTGAACTACGTCTGACCTGATTCCCGTTTAAGAGGGGTACGTAGGAAACCTTATGGGTTCGGTAACAATTCAATAAAATTTTCATTTCCCCCCGATATTGGACACTGGGGCAGAATTTTGAGGAGGACCCTCAAAATTCCGAAGTCGATTCCTCCTCAAAATTCCGAAGTTGATCTTCAGCCAATCATCGCACGCAGCCGTTGGAATCACCAACCCAGTAAGCTGGGGAAGAATTTTGAGGAGGACCCTCAAAATTCCGAAAAGAGAGGTTGCAATGTCTTGAACCGCGTCGCAGTCGTCGGTTCATCTAAAAGAAAACTATTCTTTTTTTAATTATATAATTACGTTACATTTTTCACTAAATCATGCATGTCCGTTATCAAAAATTGTTTCGTTTAGCAACGCTACCCCAAGGATACGCACAGTATCACCGAGACAAGGGCCGAGCAGGACGAGCAAAGTCCATGGGGATACAAACTAACCTTCCCCTCTTTTTCAGAACTCACGATTTTTCTTTGGATACAGGCACTCAAATCTTAACATCATCAGATATATCTATGCACTCATACTTCTCGGGAATACAACTCTCAGAATCATCACCTATTTACAATTGCTACCCGGACACGACATCCCCAGCAGCCACAATATAGCAATCGACTATTAGCTATAAAGCTATCAGCTAAGAGATTTTACCATTACTTGCCTTTTACATTTCTTGCATTGCATAAGGCTACCTTTCTGCCTTCCGAGACGAAGCATTGTCTCCATCTACATTTCTCTGCATTGCATAAGGCTACCTTTCTGCCTTCCGAGACTAAGCATTGTCCCCATCTGCATTTCTCTACATTGCATAAGGCTACCTTTCTGCCTTCCGAGACTAAGCATTGTCTCCATCTGCATTTCTCTGCATTGCATAAGGCTACCTTTCTGCCTTTCGAGACTAAGCTCTGTCTCCTTCTTTGCATGGCTGAAATATCGCCACTTCATTTAAATCCCGCATCGGCTAAAATATCGCCATTTTTATTTATGTCTTACATTGGCTGAAAGATCGCCATTTTACTTACATCTTTGCATGGCTGAAATATCGCCGCTTCATTTAAATCTTGCATCGGCTGAAAGATCGTCATTTTTATTTATGTCTTGCATTTGCTGAAATATCGCCACTTCATTCAAATCTTGCATCGGCTGAAAGATCGCCATTTGTATTTATGTCCTGCATCGGCTGAAATATCGCCATTAAATCTTGCATCAGCTGAAAGATCGCCATTTTTATTTATGTCTTGCATTGGCTGAAAGATCGCCATTTTACTTACATCTTTGCATGGCTAAATATCACCGCTTCATTTAAATCTTGCATCGGCTGAAAGATCGCCATTTTTATTTATGTCTTGCATTGGCTGAAATATCGCCACTTCATTCAAATCTTGCATCGGCGATCTTTGCATCGGCTGAAAGATCGCCATTTTTATTTATGTCTTGCATTGGCTGAAATATCGCCACTTCATTTAAGTCCTGCATCGTCTAAAATATCGCCATTAAATCTTGCATCGGCTGAAAGATCGCCATTTTTATTTATGTCTTGCATTGGCTGAAATATCGCCACTTCATTCAAATCTTGCATCGGCTGAAAGATTGCCATTTATATTTACACTTTACATCGGCTTAAATATCGCTATTTTTTTTTTATTAAGTCTTTACATCGGCTGAAATATCGCCATTTTTTTATTAAGTCTTTACGTCGGCTGGAATATTGCCACTTCATTTAAATCTTGCATCGGCTGAAAAATCGCCATTTGTACTTACACTTTACATCGGCTGGAATATCGTCATTTTTTATTTAAGTCTTGCATCGGCTGAAAGAACACCAAACCCCGCATTTCATGGGCTGAAAGATCACCAAGTTATCTAAAGGCGTCATTGTTCGGAGGCACCATTTTCATAGCCCGAGAACGCCATGCCATGGCCTAAGGACCCCACTTTTATCTTTTGCATATCATTATTCAAAGGCATCATAGTTCGGAGGCATCATTCTCATAGCCCAAGAACATCATTTCATAGCCTGCGAATCCTTAATTATACGCTTCATGGCCCAAGACGTCATGGTCTGAGGACGTCATCCTAACCGTCCAAAGACAACATTCATGGTCCAATGGGAACTTGCATCACGTTTAAATTTACGCACCATATATGTACTACTCACTTGCAGGTACACCGGCTAGCAACAACCGTCTCAGCAGGAGCGATCCCGCTCCAGTCCCCGCTGCCTATCAGACGTCAACCACCTTCCTCAATCTAAACGTCGCGTCCGTTCTTTTCAAAAACCTCCATCGGCATATTCCGTCAATGGACCCTGAACTACATATGGCCTGATTCCTGTAAGACCAGGGATATGTAGGCAGCTCAGGAACCAGAGCTCGGTCAAAACCTTTCAAATCATTTCTTTCGGTCAAAATTGGCCATCATATCTTTACCCGACAACTCTTTCATCCTTCTCGGGTAAAGAGGGGCAGCTGTTGAAACCCAATTTTCCCTATGTATTTTTAATACTCAAATATTCTCAAAATAGCATGAGTATGCACATATAAGCATGCCCAAGAGTTTTGGTATTTTTTTTCTAATTTTTTTTAAGATTTTTAAAATCAATTTATTGTCTATTTTAGCAGTACAGAATCCAATAATTATTCCCAGATTATCATTTTTGGTGAATAATTTATCTCCATTCTCATATTTACACCAAGATATTATTAAGGTGATTTTTGCATATTTTTACAAATCTGTTTGGTATTTTCTAAGTTAAATTGCAATTATAGCCTATATTACGATTAGCAGCATTTTACAATCATAAAATTATTTTTTTTAGATTAATATTTATACATTATTAATTAGTTCAGTGCTTTTAATTTGTTTTAAAATCATTTCAACTATTTTATAAAAAAATAAAAGGGGGAAATTGGCTATTTAACACATAACCCTTTATTGTTTCAATTTTAGCCCAATTTAACCCCACCCCTATCAGATTTTATTAAATCCAATGGACCCAAGACCCAATTAAATTCGCCCCAGTCCAATCTCTAATCCAACCCGGCCCA